ACCTTGAGGTACATTTTCAGGACACATCACCCACTTGATGATTGTTTCTCCCCGTGAAGGTTTTAGCTCAGTATTACGCGGTGACAGAGGAACACCACAGATCGGAAGAGGAGCTCCTGACCATCTTTAACAAGAAGATCAGCAAGAACCCCACCTTCAAGTTAGTAAAGGACAAAGTCAAGCTTTTGAAATGAACGTTTTTCTACTTAAAAATTGAATCCATTCTGTTGATTTTTTTTCACTGCTGTTTCTAAAACATGTAATGAGTTACAACAACTCCAATATTGCTTTTTCAAAGCTGTATTTTTAAGTTACAGAAAAAGTCTATTTTTGGTAGAACTTTTATGAGAAAATAAAATATATTCTTATCCAAAATTCAAAATCTGTGGTGGTGAAAATTATTGTACTTTAAAAAATACTCTTGGGGCACCTGGGTGGCTCAGTTGGTTGAGCGTCCAACTCTTGACTTGGGCTCAGGTCACAATCCCAGGGTTGTGGGTTCGAGCCCCGCTTTGAGCTCTGTGCCAATAGCAGGGAGCCTACTTGGGATTCTCTCTCTCTCCCTCTCTCTCTGCCCCTCCTGCACTTTCTTTCTCGCAAAGCAAAGAAACTTTGAAAAAAAAAAAGCAGAAGCAGCAGAGCAGAAATTAACCTCCATGTCTGGTTCTATCCAGTTACACATGCTTAAAAAAACAAATGCTTTTATGTGGAAATCTTTTAAAAATGTGACAAGCCAAAAATAATTACTACTAAACTAAAAAGTATTTAATTGCAGCGCTTCTCTACATTTTTAATTAGAGGTTTTTGTGTGTTTATTGTGTTGTTAAAGCATGTAAGTTAACAGTATCTCGTCCAGAAATGATCACAACGACAGTCTTCAGTGTTTGGCCTGTCCGCACCGTGGCCCTGTCCCTCTTCAGCCCAAGACAGACTGGGAGCATGGCCTGTGACCACATGCAGGGAAATCACTCACTTGACCCGGAACCCATCACTTAGCTGTGTCGCTGTCCCGGGGCTCCGAGTGGATCGCGATGCTTTCAGAGATGGTATTCTGAGGCCCAGTGTGCTGTGCTGGAGGAGAGCTGTGTTGTGCCTCTTGCTGATATTCGAGTAGGCTTTGCCCACAAGTCCCTTAAAAGCTGGCGAGCGTGGTACCTTTAGCCAGGGTTACATTTGTCGTTAATCCTTCCTACTGCAGGAGAGAGCAAGGATGGAACGTGGAACAGTCTCACAAGGCTTAGGAGGGGAGGATAAACAGGAAGAGGGGCCAAAAAGGCAGACAGATGCTGTCTGAGCCTCTGAGTCCCCGGATGAGTGAGAGGAGTCTGCTTGTCTCCTGGACTCGCTTGGTCCTTTGATAGTTAACCTCTCTGGACTTCACTTTCTCCATCTAGACAGTGAGGATGCTGAAGGTTCCTCTTGGGCTGCGAATGAATGAACTCATTTATGTAAAGTACACAGCACCTTGCCTGAAGCCAGCAGATACATTCCTGTTGGGGTTATTGGTAACAATATTTGAGCCATGAGAAGCTTTAGATGTTCTGGAGAGCAGAGGGGAAAGTGGGAAAGTGAGGCATGACCTAGGCCACATTCTCAAGGACAGAGCAGAGCCCAGCCTTGACTCCTGAGGGCAGTCCAGGACACTTCCTGCTCCTGTCCTCCCCGTGCGCAGTGGGGGGCGCAGCGCGAACCTACTCCCCAGAGTCCCACGTTGAAGTGCAAACTCCACAGTATTTCAAGGTCTGTGCTGATGTTTATTTTCCGTCAGTTTTACCAGGATGCATTTAAGGCAAACTTGGACAAACGTGACAAAATGAGCTAAAACCCATGCCGTGGGAGGGTCCTCATTTCTGTTACCTTTGTCAGCTGTTACCCAAGGTTCTCCGGTTAGAACTGGCTGGCAGCACAGGGCAGTGATGGGGCTGGCTGCTGTTCCGGAAGGCTAGCACGGTGCCCGTGCACCAGGGCCGGAGGAGGTGACCTCAGTTCCCTCGAGCTCCACGAGGATGAAGCCAGCCGTTCCAATTCTGATGGTCCGTGTCACGGAGAGAGGTCTTTATTGCAGACCGTGCAGCTGGCGGTGGGAAGGGCTCCCCAAATGCGCAGCAGTTGTGCCCATGGGTCTGGCTACAAACACAGTCTGCAGACCATTCCCGAGGTCCCTGCGCAGGGACCACCCTTTGGTTTGGGCAGCTGCCTGCCTGACCTGGGCTCACACAATATTGGAGCCCCAGGGACTTTAGAAACGGATCTAATGATATTTGTGTCTGGCTCTACCCCTTCACTGTGTCCAACTCGAGTGTTAACGTTTGCATTCTACCTGATTCTTGCCTGTGTCCACACGGGTCTGCTGGATCTGGCCCTCGGGTATCCCCAAACCTGCCAGGGATGCATTTTGGCACACTGTGGTTTTCGAATCTGACGCCTGCCTTCCTGGCCTGCCTGGCGTTGGTCAGCTGTGTGCACAGCCGTTTTCCATGATGCTGCTTACCAGCAGGATTTGGGAGAAGATGGGCTGTATCTTCTAAGATGCGTGACTGTCCCGGGCTGGGCCCTCCTTAACGTCAGGCACTCTAGGCATCTTGCGGTCAGGCGAGGAACGTGGGCTGACGCAGCAGCCAGAGAATAAAGAAAGCAGCCGCTGAGGGCAGAGGGGCATTTGTGTGGAGAACGTTTAAAAACAGCCAAATCACTCCGGTTTCTCCGCACTGGCTTTGCTTCAGGCGAGCACGGGTGGCTTGCTGTCGTGGTGCAGGAAGGTGACCCCTCTGAGGAAAGGGGCTTCCAGGGACCCCATTCCTAGTTCTCTGTTTAGACCTGCCTCACAGGGTGCTTCTGAGAACACGCTGCTAAAAGTCAAGGTTAATAGCCTTTTTACGGGCCCGCAAACTTTCACGGATATCTTTGAGAAGCTCTCATCTTTCTAAACATATCGTTTCTCTTTCAAAGTTAAAATTTGAGCTGCCCAGGTCCCACTGAAACAATTTACTTGGAGAATCTCACTAGCCTGTAATTACCTGTCTTGCTCCAAAACAGATCTCTAGGAATTGACGGGGGTGGTGGGGGGAGGAAGCAGTCTTGGATACAGATTGTTGGCTTTTGGATAGCACTTCTGCAGCTGAATGAGGGAGGTGTTCAGAGATCAGAGGTTTTATCCAATTCCTTTCCATCAGGGAAAGCTATGGAGAGTGCATCTCCCTTCTTTACTCCACCGCTGAAGACTGATCCTCCTGGCTGGTGGTATTCTTTTTTGTCCAGACCAAGCTGGACTCCACCACTAAGTAGGCAACTGTACGTTGTTGACTTGTGCCTGGATACAGAACCGTGACACCACAGCGCTCTTAAGATTATGGGGCTCCTGGGTGGCTCAGTCGGTTAAGCGGCCAACTTCAGCTCAGGTCATGATCTCGCGGTCTGTGAGGGCTGTGAGTTCGAGCCCTGCGTCGGGCTCTGTGCTGACAGCTCAGAGCCTGGAGCCTGTTTCAGATTCTGTGTCTCCCTCTCTGTCTCTGACCCTCCCCCGTTCATGCTCTGTCTCTCTCTGTCTCAAAAATAAATAAATGTTAAAAAAAAAATTTAAAAAAAGATTGTAACGTCCTCCCTTGTGGAAGGAAATGAGGTCAATTACTAGACGCGTCCAAGGTAAGAGAAAAGGCATAGTCTATACATTTACCTGTCCTTTGTGGTTACTGGAGCTCAGCACGGACTCAGCCTTTACCCCTTCTTCCAACCGAGCTTTCAAGAGATGGCTAAAAGAGGCCTTCTACGTTTCTTTTCTAGGCAGTGAGCCCAAGAGGGCACGTTCTATTTCACATTTGATAGGTAACAGAGAGCGTGCCTCTGTGCCGCTCTCGATGTCAGAAGAGGAAATCTGACAAGCCCGTGGCGGGATTTCACATTTAAAGGGATTCTGTTGGGGGACGTTGTCTTGCGTGCACTGATGCTTGCTTTTCCTCACAAATGCGCTTGGACCTGAATCCTCCCGTTGGCCCCGGTGCCTACAGTTCTGCACCTCTTGTCACTGAAACCGTGATAAGTCACAGGGACTAAGGGGGTCATTCCAGAGGGCCCACCCTGGGCCAGGCTCTACGCTGTCTCTAGGGACGGCGAGACGAACAGCCTCGAGGCAAGCCCGGTAAAATGTCCCGAGGGTGTACTGGTATACTGGATGTGGGCCTGGGGTGGGGAGCCCCCTGGAGTGGTTCTGGAACTTGCTGTATTAGGTGGTCTTTCTCCTGCTGCCACTGCCCCTGCTGTCACCTGCAGGCTCCCACCCCCACCCATGGGGGAGGCAGCATGAGGTGACAGCTGTCAGCGGGGCTCCCTGTGTTGGAATCCGACCTGCGCTGAATCCGACTTTGTGTCTTACTAGCCAAGGGCCCCTCTTGGGCGGGTTATTTGGCCTCTGAATCTCGGGGGTTTCACCTGCTGTACTGACCTCCCCGGGTAGACAGAGTGGAGTTAAAATACCGCACACAGCTGTCTGGCACATAGTAGGTGTCCGCAAATACTTCCTCTCTGAGTACCCGAAGGTTCGCCAAGGCTGGTCCGACGCTCTGGCTCCGGGGGACGGGCCCCATCCTCCAGGCGCCTGGCCTTTTGCTGCATGAAGTGACTGGGCCCGGCAGGAAGAGCCACAGCGGCCAAACCAGGCAGCACGGCTGCGTGAGACGAGCGAATCTGCTTCAGTTCTCAAGTGACGCTCTGGTTTATGATGCACGTGTCAACATTTTCCAGGACACAGATGTGATCATAAAACTGCCCAACAAACCTAGATGAGTGAATGATTTTAACGTAAGCTTTCCACTAAAGTATATATATGGAAAGGTAGAAAAATCTAAATCCCGATCAATTTCACAAAGTGCAGGCACCCGAGCCGTGACTGCCCAACTCAAAGAGACAGACTATTTAGCCCGAGGGCAGCCACATCCTTACTTCTGGCGGCATGGATCGGCCAGGCCTGGTTTTGAACTTTATGTAAAAGGAATCACGCGGCGGCACGTGGCCTTTTGTGTCTGGCTTCCTTCGTCCAACATTCCGTGAGATTCGCCACATTGCCTTGTAGTAGGAGTTTGCGCCGGCTTTGTGATGCACAGCATCGATCCATTCTTCTGCTGATGCCACACTCTGCTGTCCCCCGACGAAATCGGCATCCTCTCTAAGGCTCCGGGCGCAGACACAGTACTTCCTCCTTTCTGCTGGGATCACGGACTCGTCGGGTGCGTGTCACCCTGACGACGCGCAGCTCGGCGCTTTTCCAGGATGCTTTCACCAGTTTCCACGGCCTCCCTCAGTGGATGAGGGTACGTGAGTTTGCTTTGCCCGAAAGCGCACCAAGGTCTGGCACCTCGCAAACTTCCACCTCTGTGTCTCTCTTC